TGTAATTTTTTTAGCTAACTTTTCAAATATCAATAATTAAATTAAATTAAATTAAATTTTTTTGTTAACATTTCAAATATTAAATCAATTTTAATACAATTAAATTGTGATATAAGAAAAAATAGATTTATTCATTTACCAAAAAATAAAATAAGAAATAAGAAATTACAACAATTATTGTGTCATTAAAAACCTTACTAAAGAAAAACACAATTGGGACAAAAACTTGATAAGAAAAAAAGAGTACAATAATTGACAGTCAATTTACAAATTATAAAGTTACAATTTATAAAATAACTAATTTGACGGTTAACTAAGACCTCCCTCATCTGTATCATCTAATTATAAAATTGAAATGATTCTATTAAAGTGTCGTCGACAATCTCGTATTGATTATGATGCATGACCGTTCCCAATCTTGAAGACATGTGAGGACTTTAATCAATTTTGGTGAAAGTTTAGTCCTCCTGTCATTTAAAATTCTTTCACTTGCACTAATTGTTTGTTCAGATGAGACGGTTGAGACAGGAACAGAGAAAACATCTAAGGCAAGTCTTGATAATATCGCAAAAACACATTTTTTGGTTTTCCAATATTCTAATACATTAAAGTTGGCTCTTTATTGTGGATCTGCTGATAGCACTTCGGAGATTCCCAAATATTGGTGAAACTCATTAATCTATAGCTACATGGAGGACAATATATTTGTTGTCGATGCTTCTGAAGAGGAGGCTATGCTTCGGGTTCGGGTCCTTTTCAGCTTATTAAGTGCATTCTAGGAGTCGAAGTTATAAAAATGCTACATTTCAAGGGTAAAATGGGTTTTTATAAAAAAATTATTTAATTTAATTTTTTTTTTTTTTTTTTTGTCCAACTCATGGGTCAACTCAGTGGGTTGGATGTGTTTTTTTAAATATATATATATAACCCGCCAAGTCACCGGGTTGGCTTATGAAGACCCGGCTCTCCCGATGGGGTATACGTGGGCTGGGTTAAACGAGGTTGAGTCGGGCTCAGTTAGGATTGACTCGCCTAACCTGGCCTATTTATTCCATCTCTAGCAGCTCCAAACTTTGATAATATTTAGAGCATGACCACCACTTGCAGCTTCACTGCCCAAAAAAATACAAAATAAAACATCAAAATAAATGTCATAAAAGCTACAACTCTAAAAATATGCAATTTCCCAGTGCTGCATAAAACCAAAACAAAACCACAAAAACAGGTCCAGCCTTCACCTCCAGCACACAAACACTGCATCGAAAAGACTCCTGGAATCTACCTACAGTGCAACAATGTAGTTGCAGCACCAAAACAGTCAGCTTCACAATTTAGCTGCACCAAAAAATTCTACATTTTCACCAAATCCAGCCAGCATGCAAATTAAAATTCAATGAAATCAACAATATTTGAAATTTCAATCAATATTTGAAATTTCAATCAATATTCAACAGGTCTTGAATTACTAGCCACTCCATTACCAAGTCCTGCTGCCAGCAAACAAAAATTGCCAAAACTTGCTGCATCTTCAACCAAGCTATTGGCTGGTAACCAAGCCCCTCTTCAACAACAATATGCTATGTCCAATAACTCCATACCCTGCATTTACTGTACTCTCCACAACAAAAACTCTCTTGCAACCATACACCAAAACCCCACAAACAAGCACCCCTAAAACTGACTCCCTCTTTCATCAAATCTTAACTTTCTCAAAATTTGAATCCAAAACTTCATTTTTTTCACGACCCAGTTCTGCAGTGACTTTGTTTATTGGTTTCACTTGGGTTCTAATGTCGAAAATTTTGTTTTTCAACAATCTAGAGATGTGAAACTTTGGATAGTGATGAATTTTGGGTGCATTCTTTACAAGAAATTTAGGACATTGATTTCGGTGGAGGAAGAACGAGTTTTTTTATTATTGGAACAAACGTGGGTCGATTGAAAACCGAAGATTCAAGAGCAAAATCTATGAAATATGAACAAAAATTAATTAAAAATTAAAATTAAAATATGTACAAGAATTTATGGGTTTTGGGATTGAGTTTATTAGTGAAAGTGAAAACAGTAAAGTTACATGTACAAATAGCAGCGATGGCTATGGTGATTGAGCTCCGACAATATACGATAGCGGTAAGAGCCGTTGAGAGTGGTGGTCCTGAGGTATGAATTGTGAAATTTGGGATGGAATTCGATTTTGGTCTATAGACAAAGATAATTTGATTTAGGATGAAGATGAAATTAGGGAGCGAATATGATTCAGGTCGCACAACGTGGGAATTTTGGGTTGGAAATCATTTTTTTTTTTTTTTGGGTCATGTGGCGCACATACTACATGGCATCGACGTGGCGTGCCTTTGTACGCGTAGTCTTAATGTTTACACATTTGGAGGATTCATCAACTCCTCTGTTCTCCGTAACCAACTCAGGGGATGATCAAGTAACAGAGTTGGACTCCCTGGACGAAATGATTGAACAAATTTTGCGAGGTCATGGATGTAGCCAGNAGAATTCTCCATGAAGAACCTCTATTTATATAAGCTATAACTGGTAACGATAAAAACCCTAGAGTGAAACACAAGAATCCAAGAGTCCCTACCTGGCCTCGCCATCGTTTCCCAACTAGCTCAGTTGATAAAACTAGCGCTGATGTTCCAATCGCCGCACGGCCGATTCCGCAAACAAATCTCCAAGCTGAGTATATCCATATATTGGTAGAGAAAGTAGTGAGTAGAGCTGATACAGACATGGCTAAACATGAGAGGAAGATCACGTTTTTGCGGCCCAGTGAGGAGTCAGCGACTGTGATTAGAAGAAGTCCACCCACAAGGCAACCCATGAAGAAAGAAGACGCAGGCAGTCCCTTGACGAGAGAAGTCGCACACTCCAGACCCCATTCAGATACAATCGATGAGTGTAGAGGTAAATCCCATGACCATGACGTCTTGGGAAGTTTGCAAATGTTGGAAAAAGAGTTACAAGAGCTGTTTACACAATGCCATTTTGGCTCCACATCGGTGAAGACACTGATGAATACTTGTTGTGCATCAAAGGTCCAAGCTAGGGATACAAAGATGGCTTGAACAAATTGTGCCCATCCAAATTCTCCAATACGCTCTTCGATTGCTTCATCTAGAGAAGGTGGACGTTTGGACTCAACAGAATCGGAACTGGTGAGAAAAGGAGTTGAATCAGCCATTTGCAACTAGTACAAGTTCTCTGCATGTCCTCCATGGTTTTATATAGAGAAAAAGGATATATTCCTGTCAACTTAACTTGATACATAAAGTAATGGAAGAATATAATCTAGTAACTTAACTTGGTGCTGGCTTGTAATAATGTGTGCTCTTTGTCAGTCGATCGTAAGTGTACGTGGAGTTGTTGTCTCACATGTCTTCAAAGACAAGGTTCACCAAGTACATATCCAATTATTTTATGTTAGATAAACCCCAAAGATTAGCCCACAGTTAAAGAGATTTATTTACTTCTTTAAGTTTATAAATTTAAACTTTAAAATCACATATCACAATAATATTATAATTTATTTATTCTTTTAAACTTATAAGGTATTTAATAGACTTTAAATATTAGTTGATGTGTATTTAAACTAGCTTAGATACTTTAATTTAAAAAAAAAAAATGGAGATTATCAATGATGTATATGTCTTAGTGCATTACGGATCTCTAACTTTTTAAAAATGCCTAATTGGTTTCTTCAATAAATTAAGATTCCTAATTGTTTTTTCTCCTCTTTGCATCTACCACAGGAAAAAAAATAAAATAGGAAAAAGTCATATCGAATGGTTAAAATAATGTCCAAAAATAAACCATGACATCACAACAATTTAATAATGCAAGTACTTCCAACAATATTTTTTGTGTCTCTCTGTACTTGCTGATGGTATTCTTGGTATGAGTTCCTAGGAAGGTTCTAATATATTTCAAACATATTGTTAGTATTATTTTATTTGGCAATTTGGCAAATAAGTTAAAGGAAAACAATAGTGTCTTAAATCGATTGGTCACTGCATGACAAATTGTGTGCTCAGACAATTCCTGTGCTGCTTAGAAGATAATTATCAAAGTATAGAGAATACGATTATCCTCTTTCTTGACCTTTAATCATGGTTTGACCAACTATTAATCGTAACTTAAAAATTTGATAAAGGGAATGACTTCAGTTCAGTAATATTATGCTATCACCTACCTTCTTTAAAAAGTTTGCTTCGACTTACATCTCATTTTTACTACTAGTACTAGACATAAAAAAAAATGGTTTTTTTTTTTTTATTTGTTCCAATTTTATTTTTTAATAGATATCTCATGAGATATCGACCAGTAAAACAAATATTATCTCAATCTCTCTTTTTATGAAAGAGCATTCAAAACGCCATCAATGGTGGTGTGTCAGGATGACAGGATAGTTTCCCAGGTTACAGCTTGAAGTGTCAGTACAATTATTGGTCTTCAATTAATTTCTTTGTTTCCTCTGTGTTAATCTCAGTCTCCTAGACTAGTTTTGTTAATAAACTCATGCTTAAATAATATTTATAACGAAAAGGACAAACAAATTAACATGATGGTGTATTTATACGCATAATCGCTCTATTTGCATAATGCATCTGTTGCTTTCGAAATTCCATTCAAGTTGTCGTTGCTTTAATTAGCTGGCTCCAGCCTGTGCCTATCAGAAACACAGTCAGATACACATCAGACAACACATAAACACAGTCAGACACACATCAGTAGTTAGTTGTAGAATTAATAGACGACAACCATGCATATGTGCATGTTATGCCTAAAAAAGGAGTGTTGATGTAACATCTTGTCAGCATAAGTAATCAGCCCTTAGATAAGTTTTACAATCATTCAGATACAGTCATGTGTTCAATCCCTGTATAATCTTTACATCTCTTGAGTAGTTACATCTATTGAGTAGGTAAAAAACGAGATATAAAAAAGGATTTACACAACAATTTAAACTATTTTCAGATTCAGTAATCATTACTTTAATACACTTTATTATAAATAGAGAGTTCCTCTTTCGTTTGTAGAATTGACTCATTTTTATTTTGTAATAGCTTATTCTCTCTTTCTCTCATCTGTATTCTCAGTACTTTAAAGTCAGCTCGTTAACCGTAACCTGATCCTTCAAATATAAATATAATATCAGTGAATATAAAATACACTTGTTTAAACATTTAAACCACTTTAAATATTATTTTCTCATTTTTATATTCTTAATCTCTCATTTATATATGTTTTTTACGTCAATTCAATATATATGACTCATTTATATATGTCTTTTAAGTGAATTCAATATTTTTTATATACTACTCATTGATGCCAAAATCAAATATAACAGTATTTCATTCTGTATTCATGAACTAGCATCGTCACAAGGTTGAAATTCCTTTCCTAACTAGTGAAAAATGAAGCTGTAGCCTGTAGGTTATTCTCAGCGCATTACAATTTCTTTCATTTTTATAATAATATCCTGTTGCATTGTGCTTTAATTTGTGTGCTGCAATCATCACTCTCACACAAATCAATAGTGTTCCTTCAGCTGCTAACTGACACAAAATTCAGTAATTAATTCAAGAAATTTTACGAACATCTCTTGTCGTCTTTTAATGATGAGCAAGTGGCAATTAATTAAGTTAAGGCGTCTCTTTCAACCCTACCCGGCCGCTATATGCATCGATGATCACATGCCACGACAACTAACCTCCAACTCATGCCGCCATCAGACCCTGCAACCTCCAACTCATGCCTAGCTAATAGTCCGAGAATAAACAGCTAATGCGTACGTGGATTCAATGTAAATGACTCAAGGCTGAGTCAGTCATGAGTGATAACCGATAAGATCTTTTTCATAGTTTGTGATTTGAGTTTAAAGTTATCTGGAGCTACTTACCTAATTGGTCTTAGTTGTTCTGAGTCTATACACTCTGATTAGACGTTTGTATCCATTACTCTTTTTTATTTGTTTTAAGCTTGTGTGTTCTATTAGGATGCTCGAACCCATCTCTCTCCTTTGTTTGGAGTCTACATGCTCTTTTTTTAGACAATTATTCTCATCATTTTGTCTAAACAGATAAGACATATATGTTATATTTTTTTTTACCTCCGGTAATGTCTTTGGTTTTTTTGTATAGTTTCTCCGCTTTTATGAAATTTAACTTTTCATAAAAAAGACAAAAAAAAAAAAAAATTCAATGGTCGATTTCGAATTTGAGTTTTAGGTATTTGTCTTCTTGAGAAACTTCCTCTCTGGTTCGTTCCTCTTTGCTTCGTCGACTCTAGGCTTGCCACATGCTAATTAAACGTCACTTATTGAATCTCCAATTTGCCACGCTGCCAGCCTATTGTAAATGTCCCTAGTATGTAGGCCACTTGGCAAGTACTGAGCTACTAATTAAGTAAAACTTCATTGTTTTTTGAACTAATTACGTGGCACTTATATGTACACCGTAATTTAAGAAAAGTTTTCCTCAGTGTATGTTAATCGGTTAGTAAAACTTCATTGTTTTTTGAAAACGTTTTTGTTGCCAATCATAACCCATAGTATCTCTAGTAGTACGCTCACTACACTCAAAAAGTTATATAAATTGAGATAGATGAACGAGAGGAAGAGACTGTATTGACTCTGCACAACAATTAAGAAACAGCAGCAAATGTCTGTTTCAACCCCAATTCTCTCTGAATCCAAAACTGCCGAATTAAAATGCCCTCTATCTCTCGATGATACAATTGAACGGTACATAGGAGCTTTTAGCTGGAACCAGCTCCTGCAAGCCGTTCTTGTATCAGTTGCCTGGATTTTTGATGCTCAACAATCATTTATAAGTGTCTTCACTGATGCTGAGCCCCTATGGCACTGTACTCAGCTAGGGGACGAGTTTTGCAACCCAATACTCTCCAACGTTTGTCAACTTCCCAGGAATTCGTGGTCCTGGGATTTTCCGGTAAACACTTCAATCATATCAGAATGGGGTCTTGAGTGTGCAAGTTTATTTGTGAAAGGGCTACCAGCTTCGTCTTTCTTCATGGGTTGCCTTGCGGGTGGATTTATTCTATCCACTCTTGCTGACTCGTTTCTTGGTCGCAAAAACATGCTCTTTTTCTCATGTCTAATGATGTCTGTCTCTTGTCTACTTACCATGCTCTCCACCAATGTTTGGATATACTCAATATTGAGATTTGTCAACGGCTTTGGCCGCGCAACTATTGGAACATGTGCAATTGTTTTATCAACCGAGCTTGTCGGGAAAAAATGGCGTGGCCAGGTTGGTGCCCTTGGTTTCTTTTGCTTCACGCTAGGATTTTTATCCTTACCAGCCATAGCATATATAAATAGAGGTTCTTCGTGGAGAACTCTCTATTTATGGACATCTTTACCAGCACTTGTGTATTGCATACTTGTTCATTTCTTTGTTCACGAGTCTCCCAGATGGCTTTTCCTGCAAGGACGCACTGAGGAAGCCGCATCGATAATAAGAAGTATTGCATCACCTAATCTGAGTTGCTTATCAATGAATTTGAGCAACGTTTTTTTCGAGCAAGAAGCATGGAATGTTGATCTTTACTCAGTAATCAAGATTCTATGGAAGAAAAGATGGGCTCTTCGAAGGTTATCGGCAATAATGGTGACTAGTTTTGGCATTGGAATGGTGTATTATGGCATGCCATTAGGCCTTGGAAACTTATCATTCAATCTCTATTTGAGTGTCATCTTTAATGCACTATCAGAGCTACCAGCATCGCTAATCACATTCTTCCTTGTAGGAAAACTGAACAGAAAAGGTTCCTTAGTATTCTTCACTATCCTAAGTGGAATTTGTAGCATAATGTGCGTCGTGACGGGCAAAATATGGACAACTCTACAAATTGGATTAGAGCTAGTTTCATTCTTCAGCGCAGTCACTGCATTTAGCTTATTATTCATATACACATTAGAGTTGTTCCCAACATGTGTACGAAACTCGGCTTTGTCAATTGTGAGGCAAGCGATTGTGTTGGGAGGTGTAATCAGTCCAGTTCTAGTGGCCGCCGGGAGAGAACATCAGTTTTTAACATATGGGATATTCGGATTGGTGATAGGGGTTTGTGGATTGTCTGTGATTGGTTTGCCGGAGACCAGAGGCAGAACACTTTCAGATACAATGGATGAAGAAGAATACAAATTAAAATCAGAGAGCTGCAGTTACGTCTAGATCCACAATTTATTGCTTTGTTTTTTTTATCAGTTTGCTACCCAATTGTCACATCCAACCTACGTGGCTCGAATATCTTGTGATCGTTTACATCTCTTTGAATTGTAGATCGATCTGCTATGGATGTAGAGCAAATAAAAATTCTTGGATGCATTATATTTATCTTGTCGAATGGAGAAAAATAATTCAAAGCCAAAATAGTTTGTATATTAAAATTTGGTTAAAGAAATTACAACATTTTCTTATTGCCTTTGTTTTTCTTTTTAACCAGGATGTACAGGCTAACTTATACGCATATCAACTAATCTTCAAGATCATAAATGTGGTACGTAACTACTTTGTAAAACTCAAACATAGAAACTTTGGATAACTTACCCAAATGGACTATTTGACCACAAAGTTTGTAAATATAACTGTGATGATTATGTGGCTTGAAATTGCCACGATGGAGTCAACATTAGTCAAAGAAAGCAGATTCACAATCTAACTAAGACGGCGTCGTTTTGGCTATCAAACTTAAGTGCCCTATCTGGCACTCGAAGCCCATTATGTTGCAACAGATTCACGGCTCATCTCTTTTTCTCTCTGGTCCCATTCCAGCCCTAGTTCTTCGCTTATGACAGAAGATTCTAGTGCCTATCTTCTCCAACGGATTGCAGATCATACTGGACAGCCGGAGAGTGATCAACAAAGTCTTGATGTGTATAAAATCAGACCAATATGTGCGAGAGTAAATAGAGCAGTGAGAGGGCTTAATCAGGTGAGTTCTTTCTTGTATTTCTCTGGTTGTATACTCTCTATAATCTTGGTTCTCTTGATTAATGAAATACCCTATAGTGTGCCTTGAAGAGTGGATGTATGCTACCTTAGCCGAACCACTATAAATCCCCTGTGTCAATTTCTATTATGTTCTTTCATGCTTTGCTTAATCTCTGAATTGAATGCATGTTGATTGATAAGTTGTGTTAGCTCATTGATTGATTTGATCAGCTTAGTTGATAACCCTAATTAGTCACTAAAAATTGGTATCAAAGCCTAGTTTGAATCCTAATTAGGGTTATTTGAAATTTATTTTCTATCATTGCAAATCTTATTCCAAAAACATGTCCACTAAATTTGAACTCGAAAAGTTTATAGGGGACAATGATTTTGGACTTTGGAAGATGAAAATGGAAGTTGTGCTGATTAAAGAAGGACTAGCCTTAGCATTGGAAGGGGAATCTGAGTTGCCTGACACCATGACTGAAGTTGAGAAGCAGGATGTTCTCAACAAAGCTAAGAGCTCCTTGATCTTAGGACTAGGTGACAAAGTCCTTCGAGAAGTGAAGAAGGAGAAAACTGCTGCTGAGATCTGGAACAGGTTAGACTCTCTGTATCAATCTAAAGTTGTCCCTAATAGACTGTTTTTAAAACAAAGACTGTTTGGGTTTAAAATGGATGAGTTGAAATCTTTAAAAGACAATAAGGATGATTTTCTGAAACTTATACAGGATTTAGAAAGCATATCAATAGAGGTTGGTAATGAAGACCAGGTTGTAATCCTTCTAAATTCCCTTCCAAAACCTTACTCCAATTTTGTACAAACATTAAAATATGGTAGGCAGACCCTAAAATTAGAAGAGGTTGTAGAAGCCATTACAGCTAAGGATAGAGAGAACAAAATGACTTTAGGCAGTGATGGGGAAGGTCTCATGGTAAGGGGTAGATCAGAGAAGAGAAACTGGAAAAAGGAGGGACACAATAGGAATAGATCTAAGTCCAAAACTGGGAAATGGAAGTGCTTCTTCTATCACAAAGAATGCCATCTTAGGAGAGATTGTCCTAGGAGGAAAAATAAGAAGAAGTATGGAAAGGAGGAAGAGAAAGCACTACAAGAAAATTGACATTTTGCAACCAATTTTTTAGCAACTAACCAGAATTAGTTGCAAAAAGGCTACATTTACCAACTAAATTGACATTAGTCGAGCAAAGAGAATTAAAATTTTGGGGCCCACATGTTCCAACATTTGGCATCTAAAATTAATTTTTTGCGACTATTTTGTTAGTCANGAAAGCAAAAGTTCAATTTTTACTCGTTTATGAAGGAAATGTTCAAGAGAAATGGGCTTTACGAAGGTTATATTATTGTTGGTTATGGGTGTTGCTTTTTGCATAAGTTTAATTTACTGTGGGACGTTGGAAATTTAGATTCAAACATATATTTCTCTCTTATGTTTAATGCTTTATTAGACATACTTGCCAATGCTCTATCATATTTCATAATAGAGCATTGGCATAATTAGTGATGGACGCTTACAATTTGGTGCTGAGCTTGCATCATTCTTCATTACTGCGTGTGTATCGCTCAACGTGGTGGTGATTTATGCGACTGAGTTTTTTCCCACTTCCGTCAGAAACTCTACCACATCGATGGTGAGACAAGCACTCATGTTTGGTGCTGCCTGCACTCCTATTCTGATTTCAGCTGGGGGGCGAAATGGGTTCCTCTCGTTTGGATTATTCATGTTGTTCAGTGGTGTCTTCGCGGCTTGTTTACCTGAGGCAAGAGTTGCGAATCTTTGTGAGGCCTTGGACACCATTATGTTAGTTTAAATATTTAAAATTTAATTAGTGATTGTAAGTCAATTTTAAGCACATGCAAAAAGAAATTTTCCTATCTGCGTAATTTTACTCAACGTCCACGTAATATTTATTGAAGAACATTTTATACAATACACACGTTTTGTAGAAAGGGTGTTCATAGATTAAAAGCAAATCAATTTCAAACAACTATATGAAAGAATAATTATAACAATTATAGATGCAAGCCATACAATACAAAAGCTGTTATTATTTGAACAAGACATTGATTATTAATTAATTACATTACTAATTAGGGAAGCATTGTGTTTCTTTTCTTCTTCTTCCATTGTATCGCTAATTGTTTTGCCTCTTGTCTCAGGCAAACCAACCACAAACAATCCACAAAGCCCTATCGACAAAGCAAATATCCCATACGATACAATTGCATTTCTTCTTCCAGCTGCAACTACAACTGGGCTGAACACACCACCGAGGACAAGAGCTTGCCTCACCAATGAAACCGCCGAGTTTCGCACACAAGTTGGGAACAACTCTGTGGTATATATCAAAAAGATGTTAAATGCAGTACAGGCGCTGAAGAAGGACACAAGCTCTAACCAAAGCTGTAATGTCTGCAACTTTCCTATTACAACACACATTATATTACAAACCCCACTCAGGATTGTGAAAAACAGTAAGGAAACTCTTCTGTCCACGTTTCCCACAATCAAGAAAGTAACCAGTGATGCTGGTAGCTCAGAGAAGGCATTAAGTGCGACGCTCAAGTAGAGGTTGAATGCCAAATTTCCAAGGCCTAATGGCATGCCATAATACACCATCCCAATGCCAAGACTTGCTATCATAGCTGTTAATAACCTTCGAATGCACCATCTTTTTTTTAACAAAATCTTGATAGCTGAGAAAGCATCATTTTGAGTTTCTTGCTGTAAAAAAATATTGGAAAAGCTCATGGTGATTCTACAGTTTTTAGGTGATGCAATACTCTTTAGAATCAGCACGGCTTCTTGTTTATGGCCTTGCACAAAAAGCCATCTGGGAGACTCATAAACAGATAATCGGAATAACAGGCTATAGAAAATGGTAGGAATCGAAGTCCATAGATAGAGAATTCTCCATGAAGAACCTCTATTTATATAAGCTATAACTGGTAACGATAAAAACCCTAGAGTGAAACACAAGAATCCAAGAGTCCCTACCTGGCCTCGCCATCGTTTCCCAACTAGCTCAGTTGATAAAACTAGCGCTGATGTTCCAATCGCCGCACGGCCGATTCCGCAAACAAATCTCCAAGATGGTATTATCATATATTGGTAGAGAAAGTTAGTGAGTAGAGTGAATACAGAATGGCTAAACAGTGAGAGGAAGATCACGTTTTTTGCGCCAGGTGAGGAGTCAGGGACGGATAGAAGGAAGCCACCCACAAGGAACCCAGAGAAGAAGAAAGACGCAGGCAGCCCTTGACGAGAGAGTCGCCACTCCAGACCCCTTCAGATACAATCGATGAGGTAGAGGTAAATCCATTGACCAATGACGTCTTGGGAAAGTTGCAAAGTTGGAAAAAGAGTTACAAGAAGCTGTTGACCACAAGCCATTTTGTCCACATCGGTTAGGAACTGATGAAGATGTTGTGCATCAAGGTCCAAGCTAGGGATACAAAGATGGCTTGAACAATTGTGCCACCTCCAAATTTCCAATACGCTTTCGATTAGTCTTCACTAGAGAAGGTGGACGTTTGGGAACCAACAGAATCGGAAACTGGTGGAAAAGGAGTGAATCAGCCATTTGCAAACTAGTACCAGTTCTCTGCATGTCCTCCGGGTTTATATAGAGAAAAGGATATATGCCGTAACTACTTGATACATAAAGTAATGGAAGAATCTAATCTAGTATTACTTGGTGAGGCTTGTAATAATGTGTGCATTCTTTGTCAGTCGATAGTAAGTGTACGTGGGTTGTTGTCTAATGTCTTCAAAGACAAGTTCCAAGACATATCCAATTATTTATGTTAGTAACCCAAAGATTAGCCACAGTTAAAGCGATTTATTACTTCGTTAAGTTACTAATTTAAACTTTAAAACTCACATATCACAAATATATAATTTATTTATTCTTTTAAACTTATAGGTATTTAATGAGACGTTAAATATTAGTGATGTGAATTTACAAAACTTAGCTTAGATCCTTTATTAAAAAAAAAAAATGGAGATTATCAATGATGTATATTTTAGTGCATTACGGACTCGATACTTTTAAAATGCTAATTGGTTTTTCAATAAATTAGATTCTAATGTTTTTTTCTCTTTGCATCTACACAGGAAAAAAAATAAACAATAGGAAAAAGTCATATCGAGGTATTTAAAATAATGTCCAAAATAAACCATGACATCACAACAATTGATAATGCAAGTACTTCCAACAATATTTTTGTGTGTCGCTCTGTACTGGCGGATGGTATTGTGGGTATGAGTTTGGAACGGTTCTAATATATTCAAAAGATTGGTTAGTATATTTTTTGGCAATTGGCAAAAAGTTAAAGAAACATAGTGTCTTAAATCGATTGGTACGCATGACAAATGTGTGCTCAGACAATTCTGGTGCTTAGCGAGATAATTATCAAAGTTAGAGAATACGATTATCCTCTTTCTTGACCTGTTAATCTGGTTGACCAAACTATAATAGTAACTTAAAAATGGAATAAAGGAATGACTTCAGTTCGAGTAATATTATGCATATACCTACTTCTTTAAAAGTTGCTTCGACTTACATCTCATTTTGTATAATAGTACTAGACATAAAAAAAAATGTGTTTTTTTTTTTTATTGTTCCAATTTTTTTTTTAATAGCATATCTCATGAGATATCGACCAGTAAAACAAACTCTATATCGCAATCTCTCTTTTATGAAAGAGACATTCAAAACGCCATCAATGGTGGTGGTGTCAGATGACAGTCGTGTTTCACAGAGTTACAGGCTTGGAAGTGTCGTACAATCATTGGTCTTCAATTAAGTTCTTTGGTTCTCTGTGTTAATCTCTAGTATCCTAGACTAGTTTGTTAATAAACCATGCTAAATAATTTAAACGAAAGGACAAACAAAGAAATGATGGTGTATTTATACGCATATCGCTCTATTTGCATAATGCATTGTTGCTTTCGAAATTCCATTCAAGTTGGTCGTTGCTTGTAATTAGCTGGCTCCAGCCTGTGCCTTCAGAACACAGTCCGATACACATCAGACAACACATAAACACAGTCAGACACACATCAGTAGTGTTGTAGAATGTAATAGAGACAACCATGCATATGTGCATGTTTGCCTAAAAAAGGAATGTTGATGTAACTCTTGTCAGCATAGTAATAAGCCCTTAGAAGTTTTACAAAACATCAGATACAGTCATGGTTCAATCCCGGTATAATCTTTACATCTCTTGAGTATTACATCTATTGAGTAGGTAAAAACGAGATATAAAAAGGATTTGAACAACAATTTAAATATTTTCAGATTCAGTAATCATTACTTGTAATACACTTTATATAAAGAGAGAGTTCCTCTTTGTTTGTAGAATTGAATCTTTTTATTGTTGTATGCTTATTCTCTCTTTCTCTCATCTGTATTCTCAGTACTTTAAGCAGTCAGCTCGTTAACCGTAAACTGATCCTTCAAAATAAATATAATTATCAGTGAATATAAATACACGTTGTTTAAACATTTAAACCACTTTAAATATTTTTTTCATTTTATATTCTTTAATCTCTCATTTACATATGTTTGTTACGTCAATCAATATATATGACTCATTTATAAGGTCTTTTAGTGAATTCATATTTTTATACTACTCATGATGCCAAAATCAAATATAACCGTATTCATTCTGTATTCATGAACTAGACGTCACAAGGTTGAAATTCTTTCCTAACTAGTGAAAAATGACGCTGTAGCTGTAGGTTAGTCTCAGCGCATTACAATTTCTTTCATTTTTATAATAATATCCTGGTGGCATGTGCTTTAATTCGTGTGCTGCAATCATCACTCTCACACAAATCATAGTGTTCCTTCACGCTGCTAACTGACACAAAATTCAGTAATTAATTCAAGAAATTTTACGAACATCTCTTGCGTCTTTTAATGATGAGAAAGTGGCAATTAATTAAGTTAAGGCGTCTCTTTCAACCCTACCCGGCCGCTATAGCCGATGATCAAATGCCACGACAACAACCCCAACTCATGCCGCCATCAAGACCCTGCAACCTCCAACTCATGCCTAGCTACTAGTCCGAGAATAAACAGCTATGCGTACGTGGATTCAATGTAATGACTCCAGCTGAGTCAGTCATGAGTGATAACGATAGATCTTCATAGTTTGTGATTTGAGTTTAAAGTTATCTGGAGTACTTACCTAATGGTCTAGTTGTTATGAGTATATACATATGATTAGACGTTTGTATCCATTACTCTTTTTATTTGTTTAGCTTGTGTGCTATTAGGATGCTCGAAACCATCTCTCTCCTTTGTGTGGAGTCTACTGCTCTTTTTTAGAAATTATTCTCATCATTTTGCTAAACAGTAAGACAGATATGTATATTTTTTTTACCTCGGTAATGTCTTGGTTTTTTTGTATAGTTTCTCCGCTTTATGAAAATTAACTTTTCATAAAAAAGACACAAAAAAAAAAAAAAATCAATGGTCGATTTCGAATTTGAGTTTTAGGTATTGTCTTCTTGAGAAACTTCTCTATGGTTCGTTCCTCTTTGCTTCGTGACTCTAGGCTTGCCATATGCTAATTAAACGTCACTTTGAAATCTCCAATTTGCCACGCTGCTGCCTTTCTACATGTCACTCCCTAGTATGTAGGCCACTTGGCAAGTCTGAGGCTACTAAGTACAAGAAAACACTACTAATACGTGGCACTTATATGTCACGACGTAATTTAAGAAAAAGTTTTCTCAGGTAGTTAATCGGTTTCAGTAACACTCAGGTTGTTTGAAAACGTTTTGTTCGCAATCAAACCCATAGTATCTAGTTAGTACGCTCACTACACTCAAAAAGTATATAAATTGAGATAGAGATAGATGAACGAGAGGAAGAGACTTTATGAATCTGCACAACAATTAAGAAACAGCGCAAATGTCGGTTTCAACCCCAATAACTCTCTGAATTCCAAAATGCCGAATTAAAAGCCCTCTATCTCTCGATGATACAATTGAACGGACATAGGAGCTTTTAGCTGGAACCAGCTCCGCAAGCCGTTCTGATAAGTTGCCTGATTTTTGATGCGCAACAATCATTTTAAGTGTCTTCACTGATGCTGAGCACCATGGCACGTACTCAGCTAGGGGACGAGTTTTGACAACCCAATACTCCAACGTGTTGTTCAAATCCCAGGAATTCGTGGTCCTGGGTTTCCCCGTAAATATCATCATATCAGAAGGGGGTCGTGAGTGGTGCAAGTTTATTGTGCAAAGGGCTACCAGCTTCGTCTTTTTCATGGGGTTGCCATTGGGGTGGATTATTCTATCCACTCTTGCTAGGACTCGTTTCCTTGGTCGCAAAAACATGCCTTTTCTCATGTAAGGATGTCTGTCTTGTTCTACTTACCATCCTCGCCACCAATCTTTGGATATACTCAAACTTGCGATTTGTCAACGGTTTGGCCGCGCAACTAGTGGAACATGTGCAATTGTGTATCAACCGAGTGTGCGGGGAAAAAAATGGCGTGGCCAGGTGGTGCCCTTGGTGTTCTTCTGCTTCACGCTAGGATTTTTGATCCTTCCAGCCCAGTACCATAATAAATAGAGGTCTTCATGGAGAACTCCTCTATTTATGGACATCTTTACCAGCACTGGTAATGCATACTTGTTATTTCTTTGTTACGAGTCTCCCAGAGGCTTTCACTGCAAGGGAGCACTGAGGAAGCCGTATCGATAATAAGAAGTATTGCATCACCTAATCATGAGTGCTTAAAGAATTTGAGCAACGTTTTTTCGAGCAAGAAGCATGGGAAATGTTGATCTTTACTCAGTAATCAAGGTTCTATGGAGAAAAGGATGGGTCTTCGAAGGTTATCAGCAATAATGGTGACTAGTTTGGCATTGGAATGGTGTAGGTATGGCAGCCATTAAACCTTGGAAACTATCATTCAATCTCTATTGAGTGTCACTTTAAATGCACATCAGAGGTACCCAGCATCGCTAATCATTCATTCCTTGTAGGAAAACTGAAAGGAAAAGGTCCTACTATTCTTCACTAGTCCTAGAGTGGAATTGTAGCATAATGTGGCCGGC